CGGAAGGAAAAAAAAAAGATTATCTTGTTAACATACATTTAATTTTGTTACATCACTTATGTTACCCTGCAACTAAAAATAAGGATTTCCTCCAAAATGAACTCATATCTCTGCAACAAAAAATACAGTATTTAAAAAAAAAATGCTATTCAGCTCCTTAACATCAAATTAGAGATGCCAGATTCATTTCTAGATGAAATAAATCAGATTATGCAATTAACTTCACAGTTAAAATAATATTTTCCAATGATGCATCCCTGGCCAAATTATTAGACACAATATAAGATACTACCTAATATCTTAAATATCAGGTTTACTATACGACTCTACTGTTTTAACTAGGGAGAACATATTTTTTTAATTGTCTTTCTTATTACCTGCTTGTAACACAAATAAAACATCATAGTTATAAAAAAATATTGAAAAAAATTTAAATTAATGCAATTAAATGTTAGTATTTTGTTAAGCCACTTATAACCGCTTTTAGAGCTTCAATTTGATCGGAAACATTATCAATAAGACTGTAGCATAAAACCAACATTTGAGGATGATGATTCTACACATATGAGTATACATATGAGTTCATATGAGATTCTACACATATGAGTAATTTTCAATATGAATGGTCTAAAAATTACAATTTGTTTGCAATCACATCTTTAGCCATTTCTCTCTTCATCAGCTTTCACATATTTTCAATAGGGTTTGTATCTGAACTATTACTCAACCAATCCAACAGAGAGACTTCTAAAAAAGCTTTAGCAGACTGTGTTATATGGCAGAGAGCTTTATCTTGCATAACAATAAATGATTACCCAATTAAAAACCATTCTTTGAGCTGCGCATCTAACCAATTTTGTAAGACTACTTTGTACTTATTCAAAATAACACACAAATTTCAGCCTTATGTCTTGTCCACATCTTTTATATCAGCATCAGATCAAATTTAATAGATAAGTTAATAGATGGTTTTTTTCGCATATACAGACACATTTAAAACTATTGTTTTTTTTCTACCTTATATGGTTTATTATTTATAAAGCTAAGAAAAAAGTCCCATTTTTATATATTTTTTATTGTTCCTTTTTTTTTTCTTTGTGATTAGTGATGTAATTTAAAAGTCTAAGTGTTTAAAGTTTTTGGATAAGAAGAATGTTATGAAAATTGAAGGTGCTCCATATTATTCAACTATTGCAAACCATGTGCAAACAATAAATGAAGAAATGTTCATTGCAGAAAAGTATAAATTTCATAGAAAGTCGAATTTCTGTTTTTTTTTTAATTATAAATTTAAAGAACTTATTTGGAAACTCTCAAACATATCAGAAATGCCAGATTTAAAGAGAGAACGGCATAATATACCTTTTAAAGCAAAGTAAAATGAGCTAAAAGTTCAGCTTTGGCAGACAGATTTTCCAAATCTGTCTGATAAATCCAAATGTTAAACAATCGCTACACTTTAACTACTAATTAACACATTTTAAAGAAATTCACAAAATATTTACTTTGACTATGCTGACACTCACTCACAGGTTCAGTCGGAAAGTGTCCAATATAGTATTTATAGAAAAGAGAAAGAGAAACAACATTACAACAATGTCATAATGGTTGGAGGTTAGCTGCAAGAGCAGGTCCAATTATGTTTACATTGCGTTTTTCACCTTGTCTAAAAGAGAAAAGCGTCATTCAAAAATTCAAAGATATGGCAACAGTATTCCATACAAAGGTGTATTTGAGATTTTAAAATATAAAGAATAGAATCTTGAGTAAGAAAGTGGCAAGCATGATAAAGAGATACAACCTTAGCAGATACTAATTTTGCAATGGATTTGAGATATAGTTTCCAAGAAAGATCGGAAGTTAATCCTAAAAGATGAAGGGTAAATGATTCATTGAGTAAATTACTGTTCATAAATATAGGAAGATCATTATTATTGCGATAATAATTAGCTGAAAAAAAGATTGAGTTTTATCTGAGTTAAAGTTTACTAGCAACTGTGTATAAAAGGATCTCACTTCTGCTGTAGCAGAAGTGAGATCCCTTAAAGCAATCAGAGAGTGTTGGCTTTTCATCAAGACAAGAATTAATATTAGTATCATAAGCGAACAATGCCACCTTAGATGTGAAAATTTCCAGAAGATTTGTTAATTTTAAAATGAATATTGGGCCAAGGGAGTCCCTGAAGTTACAGGACTTGAAGAAAAGTACTGTATTATGAGTTCTTTGGAATTCGCATCCTTCATCTTGTTTTCCTGATTCATATAATTTGCAATCTTTTAAGATTTCTTTTCACCTTCACTTTGAAAAAACTGTTGAGTAAAAATAGTTTGTGTTGCTACCAGGAACAAAAAATTTTCTTAAACACTTCATAATAATGTAATATTCACCCTTTTACATATATATCTGCACACGGTTGGCCTGTCAAAATATTGATATCTCCAAGAATGACATCTTCAGTGTTCCAGATTATACATCGAAGCTCGTATCTAAAGATAACAAAACCATTTGAAAAAAATATTAACACCCTAACACTAACATTTAGCTTTATATACAAATATGGATTTTAAACAAACTTTAAGTGTTGATTTATAATTTTTTTCTGATAATAATCATTGTTTAGCTGACTTTAAATGTGGTTGCATAGACACTGATGACAATAAACATACTAGACATCCAAATAAGACTATCAGTCATGTAAACATAAAAAAACACCTAAAAACCATTAAGAGCTATCACAATATATAACCACAAAAGATAGCTGGCATCCTGAACTTATAAAAAGGTGGTGTTTTAAATACTCTGCATGATAATTCAAATATGTTTGTTCATCTGTTCTTCTAATTAGCTATCTTTTTGGATATTTTTCCATCAAAACACATTAAACATTTTATAAATTTACAGGAAAGATATCTAAGGGGTCATTGTTAACATGAATTATTCAGAGACCATGCAAATATTAAAAAAAAAAACACTACAAAGTTTTTAAAACACTACAAATTTTAAATAAAACTAGTCTTTCAAAAGAAGCTTACGAAATAGGTTTTCTTGGAGTAATATCAATAGGTGCACCTGGAGCCGGTCCTTCCATGCTAAACAAATCAATCCACAGCTGAATTCGACCCTAAAAATTTGTGTGTATTTATATATAATAATTATATGGCATATATCATGTTTAAATAACATTTTGTTTTTTCAACATTTAATTCTTACGCATAATTTATACATAAATTTATAACATCTAAAATTTAACTTTTATTTTTGATTTAAAGTTGAAGCTTGCTATTTAATATAAATCAATGCATAAAAGAGTTTCTACATACTAAATATTAAAATTCTCTTTCAAATGGTTTTCATTTTTGTTGATTGTTATTTTTAATCAATATTTAAAATTAATTTGTTTAACTTTTAATTAAAATTAATTTTTAGTTTTAAAATTAACTTAATAACTTTAAAATTTTTAAAATTAACTTAATAACCCTTAACTTTTAGTTGACCTTTTTTGCAATTTAAAATAACATGTTTTATTATTTTTTAGCATCAAAATCATAGAGTTTAGATTTGTTTTTTTGATTTCCGCATTATATATATCCCTTATTTATAGCATTAAAAAATATAAAAAAGAAAAACACACTTTAGTTATCAATTTATTTCATATTGAATTGTTTTATAAAAAAAACCAAGTGGCTCTTATATACATGTGTGTGTGTATATATATATATATATATATATATATATATATATATATATATATATATATATATATATAATATATATATATATATATATATATATATATATATATATATATATATATATATATATATATATATATATATATATATATATATATATATATATATATATATATTTTAACAATTTTAAAAATGTATTCTACAAAATAGAGTGCTCAATGTTCTTAAAAGAACAGAGCAATTATAAATTAGTTATATAAAAATGTAACAAAAGTTTTTAAAAAGATAAAAGTTAAAAGAACTGGTAATGTTAAAAGGAACTAGATTGAAATTGTCATTTTTACATGGTTCATTAATAGTGGGTTTTTCCCACTATATGTTCATGCTTTCTTTGAGTTTTAATAAAAATTTGTTGGAGGCCAAATCCAAGATTGAAAAACTAGCATGATTAAAACTATTAAAACAGCTTTCATTTGAATGGATATGTTTATAAATGTGTAAGTTTTTATCCCTTTTTTGGTGCTCGATTGTTCGTATCTTTAAATGGCGAGTAGTTTCAGAGCCTTGAGTGGTAGCATACAACTTCTTCCACTCAGAAAAAATTAATAACCTAGTAAAGTCATGCTTACAGTATTTGGGATTTTCAGGAGCCAATTTATTGTAATTTTCTTGAAGGCCAAAAAATAATTAACACTACAGCGACATGTTAGAAAACATGGTAAGACCTGAATTCAAACAAAAAGTTCTTGGTTGAAGGCATGATTTTCCTTCATGACAATTCTATTTATATACATCACAGCTAATAAAAGAAAAATTTCGAAAACTGAGGTGGGAGATTCTTCGACATCCCCCATACAGTACAAACCTTTTTCTATCAGACTACCTGTTAGGAACCCTTAAAGATAGTCAACAAAAAAAATTTTTTCAATGAAATGAAGAGGTCAAAAATCAGGTGCAAGTAGCTTCAAAATCAACACAAAGAATTTTATGCAAAGGGCATTTAAAAATTGGCAGAAAGATAGGATAAGTGTATAGGTGTTACTGTTGAAAAGTATCAAAATTTTTGTACTGATTGAATAAACCATTTTTGAGTAACAATTTGTCTCATACACACACACACATATATGTGTGTGTATATATGTATATATATATATATATATATATATATATATATATATATATATATATATATATATATATATATATATATATATATATATATATATATATATATATATATATATATATACACATATATATATATATATACCTCTAGTTACATAATAATCTCTTTAAATTTATTTTAGTTACATAGACATTAGTCAATAACACACAAAGGCCATAAGTTCAGCATGAGTAAGTTTTATCTGGTCAGAAAATTATGTTGTGATTTTATTTCATTTTTTTTTTATAAATTTAAATAAATATACTGCATAATGTCATAATATTATCAAATCACCACTTGCGCCCAACGTTTTTCATTTTACGTGTATCAAATTTGTTATAAAATCTGTCATCATTATATGAGGAACATAATCAGATATTTTGACAAGCTCAAAGAAAAATTATTTTTTAATTTTTAGTTCGCTTGAAAAACGCTGTTTTTAGAAAAATTTATTTTTTATTGTAGATTATTTTTTACTTTTTAGATTTGTTTGGTTAGAATCTTTGAAACAATAAAAAATATGGAATTACAATGCAATCAAGCTTTGTGTTGTCTAAAAAAAATTTTTTTTACAGTGAAAACGCAATGCCTTGAAATTTATTCATAAATTTTAGCTTAACAGTAGCAATTAATAGAAGAAAGAACATTACTAAATAACAAAAAAAGGAAATTATTTCACTTATTTCTAAATTTCACTCACTCCTACCTTTGATATTATTATCCTTAACACTTTTTTTATGAAATTTAATTGTATTTTATTCACTATGCAATCTCTTAAACTCAGTTTTTATCACAATAATTATTTTTAATACTTATACTATTTATTATATTTGTTTACTAAATTTTTGTTCAATACGCAAGCTGAATTATTTTATATATTTTTTCACAAATTTTTTTTCTAATTGCTCACTAAAGTGACTATTTATTTTTCCTGCATATAAAATTTTATTGAATATGAGAGTAATATTGACTGCCGAAGCTTGAAAATGGTTTTAAATTGTCATTGGGTTCTGAGCTATCCTGAGTTTCAGAGTTCTAGCTAGTCGGGAAGTGGGTTAAATATAGCTTCAAAGATTCTAACTTGACGGAAAACACACACACAAAAAATCAAGTTTAGAAAAACGTTGTAATATAAAAAAACAACTTGTATATAGAAAATTCAAATAACTGACTTTTAAAAATAAAGAAAAACAACTTATAGGGGGATCATGTAAATTTTAAATGGTAATTATTCTAGTAATATGTTCACAATAAAAATATAGCATCTGTTTATAAACAAATTACTTCAATTCTTCAATATTATCAAATCTAATTAAGAAACTTGGAAACTTTTTTGTTGTTGTTTTAATTTAAAAAATGACAAAAACTTGTTTGTTTCTGACAATATTACAAAATTGTGATAAATGTCAAATAATTTTAAAATATGCAGATAAAATTAAATGAATTTATTTTCATAAGTTTGAAAATTATGATGCAAAATTAAAAAGTTAAATAAGTATGTGCAAAGCTAAAAAAAAAAAGTTCAGCAGTGTTCATCAGGTTTTGTCGATTGTCTAAATTACAAGTATTTTGTAGTTAAATTCACAAGTTTATTAAATCACTTTACTGAGAAATCAAAAATTATTATTTAATTAAAAACATCTGAAAACAAATATCAAAGTTATAAACCAAACTACTTTTTTTGGTAATGTTGAGCACCATTTGCATTTCTTGTATAAAAAAAATGTAGTCAGAAAAGCATTTTTTTTTTTGCAGTCAACGTCACAATTTTAAAAATTTGTTTTAAAATTAAAATTAAAAATACAATTTTGAACATTATTAATTTTAAACAGCTTTTAAAAAATTTTAAAACTTAATAAAAAAAAATTATAAAATTTTGTTTGTTGAACTCATGGCACAATAAAACTTACAGTCTGTTTACATTATATGGTTATTTAACTAATATAAAGTTGGTTATAGTTGTTTTCAAAGAATTAGAATTCTCGGTTAAAATTTTATTAAATTTAAATTTTAACGTTATTAATAAAAATTTTTTTTTGACATAATAGCACAATAAAACTCTCAGGTTAATCTGTTAACAAAATACTTAAGCATTTGGTTACCTTACTTAACCTGTTGGTTATAGTTAAAACTTAAACAGTGGAATTATAAAAATAACAGTTAATAAAATAAACACACACACACAAAAAAAAAAAATGCAATTGTGGTAATTAAATGGTAAACAATTATTTGAGAGCTTGGTAGATAATAGTAAAATTAGAGTAGATGTATAGGTTGATATGGTAGATAATATGGTTGATATGGTAGATAATATTAAAGAGAAGATAATAATAAAAGTAGAAGTACAAGAATTACATAACAGAAGCTTATAACTCTTTAAAGATTTTTAGCTAGCAACATAATATGTCATAAAAATTATTTAAACTCAAGTAATAAATACAAATAAGTATTAAAAAAAAAAATATATGGCTTTACTCACTCAAACAAAATTACACTCTGGCCATACAAAAAGCTTTCTACCCACCTGCTCTATACCTGGAATTTCTGATTTAAGTAAGGACCTTGTTTCAACATGCTCGGGAATAAGTACATAACCTTTACCCTCAATCATTGAAAAATTGTGAAGTGCTTTTAATGCACTGGGTTCATCTGACTGTTTAGGATTACCTAAAATAACATGTAAACATATATATATATATATATATATATATATATATATATATATATATATATATATATATATATATATATATATATATATATATATATATATATATATATATATATGTATATATATATATATATATATGTATATATATATATATATATATATATATATATATATATATATATATATATATATATATATATATATATATATATATATATATATATATATATATATATATATATATATATATATGTATATATATATATATATATATATATATATATATATATATATATATATACATGTATATATATATATATATATATATATATATATATATATATATACATGTATACATATGTGTATATATATACATTATGGGTGCACCGATGAAATGGCATCAGCCTGCCAACGCATCAACCATTTAGCTGATGCATCAGCATTGGCATTGGTCTTGGTAACCATCAGCCAATACCAATTGTTTTGAAAAATCAGTTTTTTTTACTTTGTATTTCTATACTGTATAAACTTATCTGCAACCAGTAAACCTTTAAATACTTTTTGAACTGTTTTTATTCTCGCTGCATTTAGTGTCTATTATAATTTAGGAAAGCAATTATATAACTCATGGATCCAAACTATGCAAAGAGATAAGTTCAAAATCAAAAAATGTAAATGTACTGTAAAACGTAAAAAAAAAATTGAGCCAGATGTTCCTCTTCTTTTTATTTTGCAAAACTTACAAAGTTAAAAATTTTCACCTATATCAAAAAAGTCTATAAGACTTTTATTTACTTTGCTCATTGTTGATTTATTTTTTATTTAATTTTATTTTTAAATTTTATTCTTAAAATATAGTTAGATAAACAATAATTTTCATTTACTCGACTAAATAATTTATTAACTAGTTGAGAAGTAAACATTGTAATTGTAGAGCTAAACTCTGAAAAAAAGATAGAATTTTGTACCTTAGGGTAGTATATGTGATATAACCTTAGTAAAGTATAAATTTCTACCTTCTGAGGTAGAAAATTATATTTAAAAAAATAATTTTTCATACAATTTTCAATCTTAAAGGTATTTTTTCATCCTTAGAAGGTAAAAAATTATACCTTACTGAGAGTATAACACATATCCTACCCTAAGAAATTTCTACCTTTTTTTTAGAGCATAATTAAGACAAGTTCCCTTCGTACCAAAGTACTACTTATATGCTGAGTAGGTGGAACCAGGATTTGAATATGCAATTCTTCTGTTTCGACTAATAATAATTCTGAACTTTAACGATAAGAAAATTATATATATACATTTACATATTTACATATATATATATATATATATGTGTGTGTGTGTGTGTGTGTGTGTGTGTGTGTGATCTCACACTGAAATAGCCTGGTGTCAGGGACTTCAGTACATACATCAACTATCTTATAGCCTGCTGCCGCAAAGGATTGCCACCACATCTACAGATGGTTTTGGAAAGGGAAGCATTTTTTCTTTCATTTTTCTTCTTTTTCTGAAAAAGCCATATGCTATAAAGATAAGCAAAACTAGTAAGCAACCGGTGATCTATATACGCTATAGAAGATACAAAAAATCACACATTTTTTTTACAAAGAATTAAATTACTTGTCAAAAAGTTGAGACTTTTTGACATGAAATTTTTTTTTTTTTTTGTTGAAATAAAAACTAAATATTTTCACACAATTAAAAAAAAGAAATAGGTAGTTTACAAGAAAATAAAATTTAAAATCATCCATTTAAAGTTTTGAATTTTGATGCTTATTTAAAGCTCATTTTTATAAGTTAAAGTTGTGTGAATTTAACAGAAAGCTTACAATTTTTAAAGGTTTTATTGTTTACAAGATGCAGAGTTACTTTTCTCCAAAAAGAGTTTTTGAATTTTAGAAAAATAAAAAATTAATTCACAAGTGTTTGTGGGTTAGTTTTTTCTCACCTAGGCTGACCCTCTTCATTTAACCTTGGAGAGGAGTATGATGTAAATTATTCTGAAATCATGCAAGCTATTTCATATGCCTTCAGGGAAAATTTGATAAACTCAGATTTTAAAAATATGAAACAACCCCATATGCTAAAGCTTTGAAATCTTTTTTAGATGCTTGAAAGATAATTGCAATAATTATATAAGTCATAACTAAAAGAGGTATGAGTGAAGATGCTAATTTCATGACAGACTTGCCTATGTAATCATTATCAACTAATAATATAAGCTCACAAGAAAGCAGGAATTTTAAAAAAGCAAACCCCACTAGTAACATTAGCATGCAGATGTGATCGATGGACAACATCAGATTGCTCAGCTGCAGCATTAGCAATAGCTGTTTTGGTTGTCATCTTTTTCAAATGATGGATTATTCAAGATAATTGCCTGTTGAGTTGAAGAATCTTGTCAACCCTATAATTCAAAGATCTAGTGCTTTAAAATAACAAGTACTTTGCTCATCAAGAAATCTTATTGGTATGAATGGCAACCAATGAAAGGTCCCACATTCATCAACTAAAACTAAGACATGTATTAACTGCATGTATTCACTGCAAGACATCTTACAAGACAAATAACAAACCAAATTATTCCACATCGATCGAAACCAGTCCGTTGAACAACGTGTCTTCATTTTGTGTTATATTTTGACACATGATTTCTAATTATAAAAAAATATTGCATGCAAAATTTCAGCTAAAAATATTAAGTGATTGACAAGATATTTTAATTTTAATTTACTTTCCCAAAATGACCTGGTTTTCATAAAATTCTAAAAAAATGTTTTCTTTAAAAAAGAAAGAAAAAAAAAATAAGAAAATAAACATATATAATGTCTTTTTGATGCTGAATTCAATAAATGTACTTAATGCTAAAATATTGAAGAAGCATGCTTAAAAGTTATTAAAACAACTAGTTTCTATAAACAAATATCTTAAAACACCCAAATTTTGTTTTCTGTTAATATTTTCAACTGCTTACTATCATAATCTGGAAATAAATTGGAAATTATATATATTAAATATATATAAATCTGGAAAAATATGAAAAAAACCTGAAACATATGGAACTTTAATTTCAAAGATATATGACTTTTTTGTAAAATTCCTAAAAAGAATTTGTAAATTAAATAAAAATTAGTTAACTGTAATTAAAAAGTTACTTAAATATACAACATTTTTAAAGGTATCGAAGGTGTAAGTTATTTTGAATGTGTTTGTAATAGTTCAAAATATAAACTTTATTTCTTCTATTTTAGAATTTTCAAACACCCTGTTATCTTCAAGATGAATAAATTGATGAAACTACAAGTACTAGGTAGAGTTGTTACACCAGTGGCCTGTGTAGGGTCAAAATTTGTGTTTTTATGATGACAAAGTAATTGATTAGTTTTTAAAGCTCATAAGTTTTAAAGTGTCTTATTCAATGTGTCTACCAATAAGTGACATTATTTTGTAAACTGCAATCCATAAGCTTTTTACTTCATTAAACAGAATGATTGTTTTTTATTAGCAAGTATTGGGTAATTTGATACAGCATTTGTGGGGGGCTCTAAAACTGTAGAATACTGCTCCATTGTGTCATGAAAAATTCTAAAAATCATTTCTTTTAATATTTATAGTTGATTTTAAAAAGATTTATGTAAATATAATACAAGGAGATCCCATTTCGATACAAGCCATTATTTATTGACATTTAAAACGATATATTATCTGTTCTTCTGAAATGTTATTTGGACCCTTAGATGCATCATTTGGGTTACGAATATTAATTTCAAATAAAAATCTGCCTTTTCTCTATGTTTTATACCTTTTATTTACTTTTTAAATGATGCTTGTATTGTATATCAAGAAATCGGCCGGTTGGGGTACCTTGAAACAAATTTCTAAGTTTACTTTAAATAGTCTCACAAGTTTAACCTGTTACATTTTGGTAATTTACAGAATTTATTTTGTGGGTATAAATTTATTCTACAAATTAAACCAATCATTTAAAAAAAATGTATATTAAAAAATTTGTTAAGAAGCAAAAACCAAAAGTGTGTCATGTGTGGCGCCCCACTCTCCCCTAAACACCTGTCAAATTCAATAGTAATAAAAAAAGTGATAATAAAAACAATAAATATAGTATAGATATCAATAATAGTAGTAATTATAAAAAGCTTACTGAAAAAAGTTTTACTAAAAAAGTTATACTATGATAATATAACAATAATAAAATAACAACAACATTAATGACAGTAATAAAATTATTAATTAATATAACAACAATAAACTAATAATAACAACAATAATTACTATAAAAATAATAGTAACAATATTAATAATAGTAATAATAGTTAAAAGTAGTTAATAATAGAAATGTAAATTTTGGTAAAAATAAAAATAAGCAATAGTAATGGCAACAAAAATTATTATTATAGAAATTAGAATTATCAAATTTGATTTATTAAGTAAAGTAATAATTTGAGCATCCATGGTTCAAAATTTGCTAAGTTTTGGATGATTCTATGCGGAATTATCTAAACCTTCAGTTAGATTGCTACAGATACCACCTTTAAATTCTGAAGCAACAAACTATAGAGATATAATTGACTTTTAAAATATATAGTCATAAAATAAAAGTAATAATTGTAATAAGTTTTAATTGTGTTATATAAGCTTGTTAAAGTATTTCTTATTTCTGTTTAAATTCACTTATTTCAAATAATCAATGTAAAGAAATTAATGTTTAGAAATAAAGACTTTTAAGGGACTGTTCATTAATTAAGTCAATAATTTTTTAGTAACTTTTACCTCCCCCCTTCCCCTTGCCAATAAGTTGTCAAACTTTCAGAGATCCCCCTAAAATAAGAAAAAATAAAACATTTTTAAATAGTAGTAGTAGTAGTAGTAGTAGTAGTAGTAGTAGTAGTAGTAGTAGTAGTAGTAGTAGTAGTAGTAGTAGTAGTAGTAGTAGTAGTTTACAACTTCAAGAAAAAGTGTTTAAAAGTAAAATGTTTAAAAAAAAAAACTTAATTCAACTTTTAACTTATATAGATTTATTCCCGCAATTATGAGAGGGGTGCTTAGAGAAAGACAGAATTAAATTACTATTGGAAAGAAGGTGATAACTAGTGCACTTTTGGAAAAGAGATTGATGAAAGTTAAAGCTCATTGTGTTGGTGGTTCCAAACAAATTGACAGTTTAAAAGTTGAATATAGTCACATAGTTTTAATACATTTGAAGTTAGGTAGAGCATATAAGGATTAAAATAAATATTCTGGAAATTAATAATTTTTAAAGCCTTGTTTTGGAGGTGGTATAACCTTACAAGAGCTTGTTAAGGGGACTGCCTCCATACTGGGCATGCATATCTTATATATGAGCAAAAAATAGCATGATATATGTTCAAGAGTGTTTCAAGATTAACATGATGGCAAAGATTGGCCAACATGCCATTAGATCTACTTAGTTTGATTGCTAAGTCTTTGTAGTAGGATAAAAAGGACAGATTTGAATCAATTTTAATACCAAGATATTTAATTGAGTTAACAGGTTCAATTTTCTTGCCACTTAATCTAAAGTTCATATTTTTACAGATTTTTGTATTGTTTGATTTAAAGATAAAAAGTTTATTTTATTAGACTTTAGAAAAAGTTTGTTGGAGTAAAGATACTGAACTAGTTGGTAAGATCATGGTTAATGCGTTGGCTAATTTTTTTAAGGGATTCATTAATTAGCACTAGATTAGTATCATCAGCAAAGTGGTAAACAGTAGCAAACTTAATTGATGTATGAAGATCAATTATATAAAGTAGGAAAAACAGTGGTCCCAATACTGAATGCTAAAGAACGTCATTAGAATACTTTACAAGGTTAGATTGATAGAAACAAATTGTATTCTTTCATTTAAATATATAATAAACCATTTAAGGGGTATGCCTCTGATCCCATAGTATTCTAATTTTTTCAACAAAATTAAATGATCTACTGTATCAAACGTTTTCTGTAAATCGACAAATACATCACATACAAAATATTTATCATCTATTGCTTTTCTAATCAATTCAGTCATTTTAACGAGAGTGTAAGTTGTGGAGTGATTGGCACAAAATCCATACTGATAGGTGTAAAAGCATTTAAATTTTTTAAAAAAAAGCATACAGCCTATGCATTGCCTTCTCAAAGAGTTTACTTATATTAGAAAGCAGAGAGATGGGTCAGTAATTGGTGAAATCTAGTAGAGAGCCTTTTTTAAATATTGAAATAACTTTAGCAACTTTAAAAATACCTGAGAAAATACCACTTTTAAATGAGTTATTTATAAAAATACAGAGTTATTTATAAAAATACAGAGTTATTTATAAAAATACAGAGAGAGCAATAATATATAAAGATAATAATAATAACAATAACAATAATAATAAAAATAATTAGAAAAAAATAAAAAACTTAAATATATTGATTTATATTGTGTTTTTGTATTAATAGAGTGCATTTATTTAAATTTATGAAATTTCAAAGTATCTAAAAATATTAATTTAAAAAAACCATTATTACCACCATTTTGTTTTAATTTATTTTTAACAAATATTTGTTGTTTTCAAAGTAACTTTCAATCAATTGAATCTTCTGCAAAATTTGCTAGACCTACATGCTCTTTAAACTAGTTTCTACAGAGGTGCAAAGCCTGTGTGTAGAGAGAGAGGCTCTCTCTACAGACAGGCTTTGAAATAATGTGTGGGACTAGTTCAAGGAGGAATGTAGGTATGGAATTAGGACCAAGACTTTTTTCAGTTTTGAGCGTGTTTGTAATGAGACCAGATATTTCATTTTCAGTTACATGATTAATACAAAACGATTTTGGCATTTGAAATGTTAAGAAAGTCACTAAATACACTTTTAGGGGTATGGCTTTGCTAAGTTGTTTGTTATTATAGTGCTAAAAAAATTGTTAAATATATTAGATACAGCAGTGTGATCAGTGATAAGATTTTCATTCAATTTAAGTTTAAAAAATATTTTGTATGTAGAAGGTCTAATATTAATGATTTTTTTTATTTCCTTTATAATATTATAATATAATATGTTTATAATATTGTTTAGATTATTAGTAAAATATGTAATAAATATTTTTTTGCTAAATTTTAATAGATTGCAAATTTTGTTTCTATAAAATTCAAACTTTGCAAATAATTCATTTTTCTTATAAAATATTTTTAATTTTTTAACTTTTTATAAAGTTTGGAATTCAGTCCAAGGTTTTCTAAGGATTAAGTAAGATTATAAACAGCTGAAAATATTACCAGAAAAAAAAAACTTAACAAAGGTGTTTTGATATATTGGTTTATAGAAACTAGTTGTTTTATTAACTTATTAGCATATTCCTTAATATTTCAGCATTTTAAGTACATTTATTAAATTTAGCATCAAAAAAACATAATATATGTTTATTTTCATACTTTTGCCATATTTATTTCTTATTTTTTTAAGGAAAACGCTTTTTCAGAATGTTATGAAAACCAAGTCATTTTGGAAAACCAGGTCGAGATTAAAATTGCAGTAACTTGTCAACCGTTCAACATTTTTAGCTAAAATTTTATGTGTTAAGTTTTCTTTTTAACATGTAACAGCCAAAAAAAAATTAAAAAAATTTGAGCACCCAAGGTTCAAAATCTGCTAAATTTTGGATGATTCTATGCGGAATTATCCAAACTCTCAGTTAGATTGCTACAGATACCACCTCTAAATTCTGAAGCAACAAACTATAGAGATATAATTGACTTTTAAAATATATGGTCATAAAATAAAAATATTAAACCTCCTATGTTTAGGTCACTTGAATCAACACTCAGGTTTTAAAAAAAGGCTTTAACCTTGCCACTAAAGCTGGTATGACAGTCTATAAACCTCAGTCAGTTTTATTTTGTGCAAAAACAGAGTTGCAATCATCTATGATCTTTGACATAGAATCTGATTTTAGCAAAGATATAGATTTTTTTTTTTTTTTATAAATGCGTTCTATCTGATATAGCTGCATTCTACCTGATATAACAGTCAAACAGGTTAATCCATTGCTTGACATTCATATCACTTCAGCTTCTGTAGTTGCGTTCTACCTGATATGTTGACTAGTTGCATTCTACCTGATATAGCAGTCAAACAGGTTGATCCATTGCTTGACATTATTATCACTAAAGCTTCTGTATCTAAAGTAATTTCCTGCTTAAACTCATCTAGAGCTTGTGGCCCAGAAAACATACCTGTTATAGTCTTGCAGAAGTGTTCTTCGGAGCTGTCATCTATCCTTTCAAAACTATTTAACAAGTTATTAA